CACAGCGTTTCTTCTGGAGGAGAAGGCACCTCCTGTCTTTTTACTGTTAAAGAGTCAAAACACCACCATGAGCACCGCGCTCGGCCTTTATTAAGGTGAACCTCACCGTGGGACGGGCTCTCTGAAACTGTTTAAAAACCAGGCTACCTTAAGACAATAACCTAGATCTGCCTACCTGGCCACCAGATCTCATTAATAAATCTCAGAAGCACCCACAGAGGAGGAGGGGCACATTTTTGTCACTCGACTCATCCAGTTCTGCCCAGCGCTTCCTTATTTAAAAGTGTGATGTAATTTCCTCCTTTCAATCTGGTTTTAGAACCTGATTTCTGTTTATTCAGGGCGATAAATGGTCTTTTCAGCTGCATTTAACAATTACCTACATAACTACTCCCAGACCAGAGGAGACTGGAGGTAACGACATTTAGAGGCAAAATGTGTAAAAAGAAACTGATTTAGGAACACGCAAGCCCGTGATTTAAAATCTCCCCCAAATCAGCCGGCACCTGCATGCGGATCTGCCTTTTGAAAATCTCCTCGTGCCTGAAGCGCTAGCAGCCAAGCCATTCGAACACCGAACGTTCAGTGGAACTCTTCAGTAGAACGGTAATTTTTTAATTTTTTGTTAATCCTCCCCCAAGGATATTTTTCCCATTGATTTTAGAGAGAGTGGTGTGGAAGGGAGGGGAGGGGAGAGAGAAACATTGATGTGAGAGAGACACATCGATTGGACCGAACCTGCAACCCAGGCGCGTGCCATGACTGGGATTGAACGGGACCCTTCTATGTGGGGCTGACACCACGCTCTAACCACTGAGCTGGCCAGGCCGAGAACTGTGATTTTGATCAACATGAGGAAACTCCCCCGTGGGATACTCCCTACACCTGCAGTGTTTATGACAGTTGTTTACTAAAAGCAAAAGGCTTCAGAGGCTCCGGTTTGGGGGAGGGGAGGAGGGGCAGGCAGGTTAGGAAAAGCTCCCCGCTGACCCCTGCTCCTGGGAAAAGCCTAAGCAGCCTTCACAGTAACGCAAAGTGGTCTAAAATGGTTTCCATCCTGTCAGTAAAATGCAATGGAAATACTCGTGCACAAATTCAAGCTGAACTGTGGGTTTCTGTAAAGGTGGAAGTGTGGTTGGGGGCGGGCGCACAGACGTCTGTCCTCGGCGGGCCTGGCACACATGGGCCTGTTGGTAAAGGATAAAGACGGAGGCAACAAGGAAAATAATTTCTCTCCAGGCTGTCAGAATCAAAGCTAAGTAAAAAGAAAAGAGCTCAGTGACCTAGTTTCTTGAGTAATTCGGAATATTTTCTTGCTAAGTATTAGGAAATGGCAGGCTCACAGAAAACCTACTCGCTCCCCTACTCAAGTCATCGCTGCCTGACCCCGTCCTGCAGCGCCAGCGCACAGCCACCATCTTCTGTCCTCGGTCCCTCCCTAGGGCAGCCCGGGCAGCAGCACCCAGGAGGGTGGGAAGTATTATTCCCTTTACAACACGCGTGAGCGATTTCTAAGGAGGAGATGTGAAGTCTATCCGAATTTTAGTGACAAGCATGTGGTCTGATGACGGGAAGCAAATCTTGAAAACTTCAAATTTACTTAATGAGCCTTTAAAAAGCCACCCCCGGGTAAGTCTAGGCTGTTACTGTGAACACTAAACCGGTAAGAATCCCACGCCGGACCCTAACCGACAGGCAGTGTTCCGAGCGCTTTGTTTATCCAGGGGTCGGCAGACTCATCAGTCAGCAGAGCCAATGTCAACAGGACAACGACTGAAATTTCTTTAGAGAGCCACATTTTTAAACTGAAACTATACAGGTAGGTACATTGTTATTAACTTAATTAGGGTGCTCCTAAGGCTTAGGAAGAGCCACACTCAAGGGGCCAAAGAGCTGCATGTGGCTCGGGAGCAGCAGTTTGCCGACCACGGTTTATACTAACTTATTTAATCCTTCAACAACGGCAGGAGATGGGTTACTGTTACTACCCTCAGTCAGATGAGGATCTGGAGGCGGAGGTCAGGGACTTACTTGGTCAAGGTCACATCCCGAGAGTGGTGCGAGCCTGATGCCAAAGCCTCCCCCTACCCCCCACCTCGTCAACCCCTCGGGCAACGCAGGGTGCGCTCTGACCACTACAGACTTTTCTCGGGTAACCCTAAGCCCATGCAAGGCCCTGCTCCACTTCCTCTCCCTGGGATTCTCCTGCCTAGTTACTCCCTAGAAAGGGTGGGTTAGCCCTGGAATGTGGCGCAGTGGTTAGAGCGCTGGCCTGCACCCCAAAGGGTCCTGACTTTGTTCCGGTCAAGGGCACAGACACACCGAGGTTGCAGGTTCGATCCCGGCCGGGTGGTGTGTGGGAAGCTACCAATCGATGCACACGAATGTTCTCTCTCTCCCTCCCACTCTCTTTCTAAAAAAAATTATCAATGGGAAAAACATCCTCAGGTGAGGATGAACAAAAACAAAAGCATTAAAAAGGGTGGGTTACGGTACTGCTTCTATACTCTGACTCCTGCCAACGACTCTTGAAGCTTTCCATCTGTAATGGTGCGCCTCCCCCCATCACACGTCCATTTCAACGCCGCATTGGACGCAACGCGGGTCTTAACCACGAAGAGCGGCCAGTTCCCACACCACCCAACACGCTCCTTAACACATGCTCACACTTGGGTCCCAGGGACGCATCCCAGGCAGCAGATCTCCTATTGGAAAGCACTTTCTAACCATGATCTCACTCGGTCCCCACAGCGTCCGGCAGCAGAGGCAGGGATTAGTCTCCATCCACAGACAGGAAACGAGCGACACCTTCCTGCTGCCCGTCCGCCGGAGCCGGCCTGTCCCGTTCACTCGCCCTGCCTCTCCCTTCACCTGGGTCCGCTGGGTCCTCCTCTAACATCCGTGCTTACAAACGGGGAAACGGAGGCAAGGAAACACTCATGACCTGAGTGTTAGGCAGCTGCAGAGCTAAAACAGGACCCCACTCCGTGCTGCTCACAAGTCCTCAGAGGCCGGGATTAAGTCCTTTCACAAATAGTTATCAAACGCTAATTCTGGACTAGACACCATGCTCGGCGATGAAGAATCAAACCGGGAGGGGAGACAACAGTAAAAGCAGCCGCGTCACATTGTGGCACCTCCGAGGACGCAGGCACAGCAAGAGGCCGAGGCCGGAGAACCATTCGCACAGGTGGTTCCAGAAGCCTCTCTCAGGTGATGTAAAAAACATGCTCACCTGAGGACATGAGGAAGGAAGGGGCGGGGAGACTGACTGAGAGAGAAACACTGATTTGAGAGAGAAACACCGACCGGTTGCCTTCTATACACTCCTGCCTGGGGATGGAACCTGCAACCCGGGGATATGCTCCGACTGGACCGGAACCGCCATGTTTCCGTGCACGTGATGACACTCAACCAACGGAGCCCCTCCTGCCAGGACTCGCAGGCGACTTTAAAATATATGTTTATATTTTCATTGATTTCAGAGAGGAAGGGAGAGGGAGAAATAGAAACAACTATGATGAGAAACTTCGCTCGGCTGCCTCCTGCACGCCCCTTACTGGGGAGCCTGCGACCCGGGCACGTGGCCTGACGGGGAATCGAACCGTGACCTCCTGGTACATAGGTCGATGCTCAACCACTGAGCCACGCCGGCCGGGATCAGGTGGCTTTTATGTAGAATCCAAAGGGTGGGAAGGAGGCCGTCACGCGAAGAGTCAGAAGAGCACCCACGCAGGGAGCAGTGTCTTCCAGACAATCCCACTGGTCCAGCTTCCTGTTCAGGGGTCTTTGCTAAGAGCTGCTGCACACTGT